GGAGCGACATGCCAGAGCCCTGTGTGAGCAGGACAAGACACAGGCTTGTCCTCTGGGACTAGCCTTTCTAACCCTTCACTCATTAGAGATTCACTGGGGTTAACAAGCTCCTCTATTTGGGGGGAAGATGTCCCCCTCCAGGTAGTGTGGTTGGCAAGAAGCCACATCTCCCTTATTTCCCATCATATTGCATGCCAAGCCCAGAGACTGGCTGGTGGTGGATGCTCAATAAAGTCTTGTAATTGAGTCAGCTGATTTGTCTGACAGCCAAGAGACTTGGGTTTTAGTCACAGCTCTCTCTGTCTCCATATCTGCAAGCAAATAGCTTTCTCCTTGGAACTTATTTCCCTTATTTAGAGAAATGAGGGCTCTTTCATAGTACAATGCTAGGCATTCTGCTGGCATCAGGAGCTGCAATAACACACAAGAAAAGAGATCATTAAAACATAATATGTCTAGGGGCTGGTGGAGTGGCTCAGTTGGTTAAGAGCTTGCTCTGAGCAACAGTGGTTTGAGTCCTGGCTCAAGCTGAGCTGCTGCTGAGCTGCCACCAGGTGGCAGGATGGCTCAGCTGAAAATTTTTTTTAAAATAAAATATAGTATGTTTGTCAATGATACCTCAATAAAGGTAAAAAAAAAACCACTTAATGAGATCTTTGATGGACATAATAATCAAGACACTTGACAGCACAGCTCAAACAGATTTAAACCAAAAAGGAGAATCTGATGGCTCACATAACTGGAACATAAATGGAACAGCAGGATCCAGGTGCTCACATGATGTCAGCAGAGATCTATTTCTCCTTTTCTAGCTCTGCTGGACTCTGATTTAGCCTCATTTCCAGACAGGGAACACAAGCAGCTGCAGGCTCCTATTCTTTTAAAATGTTGTAGTTTGTATGTTTTTCTTTTTAAATGTTATGTGGTTCAAATTCCAAAAGTTTAGACGAGCATATGGAGAGAGTTACTCTCCCACCCTATCTCCCAGCCACCCAGCACAAGTCCTCCCAGTTCCCTATGCCTCCTTCCAGACATGTTCTGTGCACACAGCTTTCCACTTCTTTACACAAATGGAAGCAAACTATACAAACTGTTCTGTGCCTTATTTTTGTCATGTAACGGAGATCATTCCATAACAGTGTATAAAGTTTGCTTTTTTCCTGGCTCCATAGTATCACTGTGATATAATTTAACCAATTCCCTGTTGACATTTAAATTGGTTCCAATCTTTTGCCAATACAAGCAAAGCTGCAAAGAATCTACACATTTCCATTTCACCTACGACTATGTGCAAATGTGTAGGGCTTATTCCTAGAAATGAAAATTCTAGGTCAAAGGGTATGAGTATTTGTGATTTGCATTGATTTTGATTTTGACGAATATTGCCAAATTGCTCTCTGTGGATGTGTTACCAACCTTTACTCCCACTAGCAAACAGGTGAGGCTTGTTTACTTAAACCCATACCCTCTCCAACTATATGAAACTTTTTGGTCATTACAACTATAAGTTACAAGTAAACATGGTTTGCATTTTTCTTACAGTGAATGAGATTAGCCATCTTTTCATATATTTGAGAGTTCTTTATGTTTTCTTTTCTGTAAAATGTCCACACACATTTTTTTTGTATATTTTTTATTGGGTTATTGGTATTTTTCTTACAGATATGAAGGTTATTATGTATCAAAATTAGCCCTTTCCCTGCAATATGAATTATATTTCCCCTAAATTGTCATCTTGTAACTTTTGCTGATTTTTTTTACCCTGTGTACTTTTAACATTTGTAATATATATTTAATATTTAAATGTATCAGTCTTTTATGACTTCTGTGTCTTGTTATCATACTTAGAAATGTCTTCCCCATTCCAAACTATTTACTTCTGTGGTATTCTTGCCCAAAATGCATAACCTCAATCTAATCATGAGAAAACACTTAACAAATCAAAACTGAGGGACATTCTGCAAAATAACTCACCAGTACCGGTACTCTTCAAGTATGTCAAGGAAAAAAAAAAAGACTGAGAAACTGTCTCAGATTGGAAAAGCCTAAGAAGACATTATAATGCAAAGTGAAACCTTGGATTAGATCATGCACCAGAAAAAGGGCATTAGAAAACTGGCAAAATTCAAATAAGATATGTAGATTAGCTAATAGTATTGTATTGATGCTAATTTCCTGGTTTCAATAATTATACCAAGGCTATGCAAGATGTTAACATTTGGAGAAGATGGGTGAAGGGTATAGAGGAAATTTGTACCATTTTTGCAGTTTTTCTGTAGGTCTAAAATTATTCAAAATAAAAGTTAAAAATGTCAAAGTTTCTCTGAGTACTTTCATGGTTTTATTTTTTACACTGTAATCTTTTTATACTGTACCTGTAATATAAGGTATTGACCCATATTTTCCCCCAGATGGCTACTCAGTTGTTCTTTTATTGACTAATCCCTCTTTTTCCCACTGATATTTTTATTTTTTAATTATCTATTTATTTTTTTAATTGAGGTAAAAAATACATAACAAAATTTACCATCTTAAGCTTTTTTAAATTGTATGTTTAGTAGTGTTAAGTAGATTCATTTTGTTGTGCAAGCAATCACCAGAACTCTTTTCATTTTGCAAAACTGAAACTCTATACTCCTTAAAAATTCCCCACCCCATCTCCAGAGCCCCTGGAAACCATTCTACTTTCTGTCTCTATGAATTTGACTACTTGTGGTACCGCATATAAGTGCAACCAAGCAGTATTTCTTTTTGTGACTGGCTTATGCTGATTAAGAAGCCAATAATTTCACAATAAAATGAAAACCTATTTCTGATGCTAATTGGCAAAGCTTCTGGTGTTGACCAAGAAACAAGTAGTTGAAGTATTTGTAGTAGCTACTTCTGGAGTGTGGATGAGGGAATTCAGGCTGAGAGGTTAAGTGACCTACCTGTTGCAGGTCACACAGCCAAGAAGAGTAGAAGGTGCACTGTGAACCCAGGATGGGCTCCACAGCTTGCTCCCAAAGCCTTTGCCCTGAGCCAAGGCTCGCATAAGAAAGAGAGCCAAGACTTGGAAACCAGAAGCATCTGGTTCATCTACAAGAGGTAGATGAAGTCACCCAAGGAGTAGTGACCACCAACATTTAAGGGGCAAGTGGAGGAGACAACCCCGTAGTATGTCCTCAGTGACTGACGCACTGTGTGTATTTATTGGGTGAGTCTGAGAAGGAGCAGCCAGGACAGTGGGAGGCAAACTAGGGGAACCATTTTTCAGAAGCCAAGCGAGAAAAAATTTAAAACGAGGGAAGTAGTCAACATATATGCTGAAAAGAGGTCAAGCTAAAGTCTGAGAAGTGACCCCTGGATTTAGGAACAAGGGAGTCATTGATAATGAGCAGTTTCCTGGGATGATAGGGGCAGGAGAGTGCTGGCAAATGTTTAACAACCAATTTTCTAAAAAAACGTATCCATTTATGTATGTACATAAGTTTATTACAAATTTTACTGATATAAAGGATATGTAACACAATGTACAAATAATAAAATATACAATATTCTTTATTGTAAATTCCACTTTTGTATCCATTTCATAAATGGAGTTGTATCCTAACTACAGGTATATGAGTAGTTCCAACATAATGTTGGTTGATATTTTTATTTACATTTTCAAGTAAGACAAAAAATGAAACAATGAAGATATGATGAAACTTCCATCTCCTCAGTGACTTGAGTGACTTTGGTATTCTTGCCCGAAATGCATAATCTCAATCTAATCATGAGAAAACACTGGACAAATCTGGTAATAGTTTACAAACCCTGGCAAATCCTGGGAGAATATTTCCTCATTTTTTTGTGCTATTCACAATGCAACAGTTACAGACACGACACTTCTAAGTTAAATCTGCATTAACATTTTCTCCACCATTTTCTTTTAAACTTTATTGGGAAACAGTGTGTTTTTCCAGGACCCATCAGCTCCAAGTCAAGTAGTTGTTTCAATCTAGTTGTGTGTGGGGGGGGGGGGCGGGGGGGGGGGGGAGTGTTAGGGTTAATCCCTACTCCATAGTATCTGTAAGTCTAGCACTTACCACAAGTTGCTATTAAATTACTCTGGGAGTACTGGATATTGTTTTTTGTCTGTCTCTATGAGCCATAGTATCTGTGATGGCTGAGGTTGAGTACCGGTCATATTCACATCTTCCCTCAGTACCTACTACAGTGCTTTACATATAGTAAATGCTCAATAAGTATTGAATGAAAGCTCAGGATGAAGGGCTGCCAGGAAAAGAAACATGGTCAGGGAAAGGTTATATGTGAGGCATCACCAGGAAGCATCTCCTTGGATGCCTTTAGCTTATTTAAAACGGCCTGGGTTCTACCAGTTAGGACTAAAAAGTATACAGAGAACTTTCCCAACATACATACACTTAACCAGAAAACATGACCCTGAGAACATTCATCCTGTAATGTTAGGACTTGAGACTTATAGTTTGTGTGTATGATGGCCAATAGCGTATGTTTTAACAATTTTTTAAAAACATGTTCTTTTCATGTGCTAGCAGACAGAGGTGGGTGTTGTTTCTCTTCTAACAACAGGTCTGCCAGGTTTTTGGGTAGGAACTCCAATCACCAGGGAAGTTCTCCCTGAGCACGTGCCCTTCTTACCATGGTGAGGTGGAAGTTTTCACAAAAGATCGTTTATGACACCAAGTATGATCAACATTAATAAACGTTTTAAAGAGAAGCCCGAGATAACAAAAACACTTACTGGTGATAAAGTTCTCCGTAAAAAGGCTGGAAGTAATTTCCACAAGTTAAACAAAGTCGCCTACATTAATACAATACCCCTAAATCAGAAAAACCCGGTTGCAGTAACTAGAACAGGCTGCTTTCAAGAATAAGAAAAAACAACGAGAAGTAAAGTACCAACAAACGAAATGCTATAAAGAAAAAAATTACCAAACAAATAAATACTTAAGTTCAAGACCTCTAAATACCAATTATGAAAGAAAAGATCGTCAGGAAGAATCAGAAAGGAGCAATCAGGGTGTTGCAAGTCCTGATTACGCTGAGCCGTTAATCACGAGTCATGCGAACTCCAATCATCATGTTCTAATCTGCCCTCCAAAGAGGAGGAACAGGTAAGGATTATCCTACCTGACGATAACCGTTAACCAACGGCATTGACCATATTCAGTGAAAAAGATCCCGCTATAATCTAGGGTGAGTACATAACGCGTTAGCCAGAGCTACCTAAAATATTCAGATTCTTCCATTTCTATTGCTACATTTATTTGCAGATCTTTTTAAAATACACATTTTTTTCCATTTGACTGCCAAAAGGGATAAACTAACCTCCCAGAATGCCCCACTCCACGAGCTTGCTGTAGTAACCGTTGGCATTATTTACATATCTCCGCCCACTCCCTTCCGCCAGACGTCTACCGTAATAACCAAAAAAGCGATCCAGTCTGCAAGGAAAACAGCCTTCCGTTTCTCTAGCAGTCTGGCTACCCCAATTCTCTGAAATTTTTGTAAGCATTGATCCTACTCTAAAATAGGTTTTATTACAAAGCACTAAATAAATGCTTATAATCCCAGACTCGACAGATAATTACTCTAACACTAAAATCTTTCACCAAATGCAGTTTTAGGGAAGGCTGACGACTTTGCTTTCCTCCTTCCAGGAACGGTGAATGGTCCCTTGCTCCCTCCAGCCTTCTTCTCTACGCTCCCATGAAGGTTATCAGAAAGGTTTCTTTTTCAATCCAAAGACGCTGATGAATAATGCCATTTCAGTGACAGCTGGGAGGGCACTGTGGAAGGTAAGGTGGTGGGTTCAGGGACCCTTCCAATAAAAATCCCCAAACCAGAGACCCCACCCTCAAAGTGTAGGTGGAGTGGGACTTCAAAAGACTAATTACAGGACATTGAGTGGATCTGGTATCTCACACATGGAGTAAAGGGTTGGGTGGGGGAAACCTTCAGATTTAGAGTAAACCTTCCTACCTCATCCCCAAACATCGGATGTTACTGTACCTGCAGAAGACAAAAATGTACCAGTACGTGGTGCATTCCCAACGCTCAAATATGAAAAAGGATAGTGCCACAGATGCACTACAGTGAGCCCCTATGGCTGGGGAACACACCTGAGTCAAGGAAAGTCTTTGGATCCATAGGCAGTGATAGGCCAGAAAAGGCCAGTGGTGGCGCTGGCATCTGCAACATGTTCAGTTCTTGCTCCCTTGCCAATTGCAAAGGCACAGAGCCAGCAACACTGCCTTCTGAGTTTTAGGACAGCCATGTGAGTAGAGAGGCCAGAGCTGAGCCTGCACTGGGACCCCAGGCTACCACCATCCCAGATCTAGGGGCCAGCCTGGACCCTTCATATGAGGTAGAAGTAGGTTCCTCATTTACCTCAGGCCACACGGGAGATTGTATTAAATCTTCTGCATTATCTAAGAAGACCTCTCAACTGGAGAGATTCTGTCTGCCTGCTAGGGCTGACTCTATTGTGCCCAAAAGGGCTAGTTAGGTGGCTGAAAGGAGTAGTGATGGAAATGGGCCCTGTGGGAAAGGTACGCAGGCTGAAAGGATACAGATGAGGCTCTGGGTACTGTTGAACATGGAAACTCCTGAGAAGAAACCAGCCAGCTCCACTGCAAAGAGGCCCAGGGTGACAGAGAGCACTGCCACCAGCCTGCAGAGAGGAAGGGGGTTGGCTCAGGCCTTCTGGACTTCTTCTAAGACCCCTCCACTCCCACTACTACAATATTTAATTCTGACCACCCCGCCCCAAGTGCTCACTGAATGTCTTGCTTCTCATACTCCTCAGGAGTAAAAGTGAGAGGCAGGCAGGCCTGGATGTTGCTGTCCTGTTGAGCAGGTCACAAAGAAAGAGAAGTGAAAGAGGGGTGGACGGCGGGGGATGGGAGGACCCAACCGGGTCAGGTACTGGGAAAGCAGCGGGATTGGGCGGGGACCACCCCGAGGTGGGAATGGGGGTGGGAAGAGGGTGGCTGTGGGTCTTACCCGGGACCAGAATAAGGTGATGACGACCACCAGATGCGCCAGGAGCGTCAGGAAGCGAGAGGGCACAAGCCCCGAGATCCGGCCCATGGCTCCCAGAGGTAAGGGCACCTCCTGGAGCAGAGGCCTTGGTCTCTAGGGCTGGAAGCTCAGGGATGGCCACTCCTGAAGTCCACCAGGTTAGCAGGCAAAAATTCAACATACACCCCCTTCCCGCTCTCACTGGCGCCGCCCAGTTACCTTAGCAACCACATATGCAGGCGCTGGGACCGGATCTCTGTAAACCTCGCGAGAGCAGTAAATTCTCCAGCCGCTGCGGGCCTCTTGGAGTGCTTAGGTCCGGGGTCCGCAGGGGTGGTCCCAGCAGGGTGCCCACCCCCCGCCAGTTCGTCGCGCGCAGCCGAACCATCTGTTTGCACCTGAGACTGAGTGCTGTGACTGGGCCCCGCACCGCCGAATCTTCCTACGCGGGTCCAGCGGACGGAAACCCGCCCTGTCCTAGCCTGGGGACACCCCTTCCTCCGCAATGCCCTACGCCGGGAGCGGCCCGGGGCCGCACCCCATTGCGTAGCCCAGGATGACCTTCCATGTAAGAGTGGCTCGCTGCTGACTGCTGTCACCGCCGCTTCGGACTTAGGGCACCCCCACGCCCTAGGCATGGACACTCTCCCCTTTCCTCCTCCGCGTCCCTCTAGCTTCCCATTACCCTGGGTCAGAGGAGACGAAGGAAACCGAACGTGGAGAGGTGGATATCCCTAGATTGTCCAGCTGTCACTTATTGTCACGGAGCCCCTGGTTGTCCGAGGACCCTAGACCTGAACCTTCCTTTATCCTGATTCCTCTCAGACAACTTTGCTTAGTTGGATGAGGGATTTGCAGAGAGCAGAAAATGGCCAGCTCTCTTGAACTAGAATGTGGATGAGAGGCGACTTTTGGGAAGGGAGTGGACTACGGGGCCGACAATGAGGGAGTGGAAGAAAGGAATGGTACCCCCGAGTCCCTGGGAGGCAAGGAGCGGGCGGCGACGCAGACTCTGCTCCGATTTTATCTCTTTCAGGTGTGGACACCCGACTTTGCCCAGCTACAGTGCAAGAACTTCTCACTGTCGGCGACCTCACTGACCTTTGTGTCTCAACGGGGATCCCTAAAGAACAGAAAGTTCTCACCTGTGATTATTGCTCAGAGTCCAATAACATTCTTGTAGGGACCTCCCTGCCCACTTCCCAGAAGAGCCAGCTCTCTCCCCACTCCCTCTTTCAGTTCTTTTAAACCGGTCTAAATTACAAGTCCAAGAGGCATTTCTGATTTATTCATTCATTCATTCATTCATTCAACCAACAGTTATTCATTGACCAGCTAGTAAGTGCCAGGTGCTGTGCTGGGCTCTTGTTCTTGACAAACAAGACAGAAGTTTCTACCTTCGTGGAGTTTATATTCTTGTCAGGGAGATAGACAACAAACATGCAAATAAATAATAAATCTGCATGGTAATATGTGCTATAAATAAAAATTTTAAAGGGAAACACTAGAATAATATTGATCAAGGAAAGGCTCTTTGAAAATGGGTCATATATTCTTAATCTTTGTTTTAGGAAATGTGGTCAAAATTAAGAAGAAACACCTTTCTCTTATCCAGGACCCCAGTGTAATAAATTGACTTCCTTTTTCTAAACCAGTGGATGAAAGATTCAGAACTCAAAGAGATAGTCAAAAGATGCTGCCTCAGGTCATGAAAGACAAAGACAGTAATACTTCCAGATTAAGGGAGACTAAAGAGACCTGACAAATTTAACATGGCAGATTTAATGTGTTATCCTAATAGATCCTGGACCAGAAAAAAAACCCAAACAACTTTATTTATTAGAAAGGAATTAGTGGAACAATTGGCAAAATTTGAATAAGGCCTCTAGCTTAGATAATAGTATTGTATCAGTGTTAATTTCCTGATTTTTAAAAATCATTCTACTGCCTTTATGGAAGAAGATGTCCTTGTTAAAAGATACACACTGAAGTGTTTAGGGAGAAAGTGGGATTATGTATGCAATTTACTATTATATAGTTTAGAAAAAAATATATGTGTCTGTAGAGATAGAAAGAGACAATGATTAAGCAAATGTGATCTCAATGAAGGTACATGGGAATTCTTTGTATTATTTTTGTAACTTTTCTGTAAATAAAATTATTTTAAAATAAAAAGTTTTACATGATAAGCCCTTTTAAAGTTTTTCTTCCAGGTCTTATACAATATTATCAATGAGACATTAAGTTGCATTATAAAATGAAGGAATGATTTCTAGGATTGAAGGTCCCTAAATGTTGGACTACTATATATTGAAACCATATAATGGCATTTTCATATAATACCACTTCCTTTGAGGACAGCACAACCTTTTCCTCATAATGGAGACAACTGATCTCCAAAATTCATAAAACAAAAATTGCAACCAGTTAGACTTTTCAGAGGAATTATTTTTATAAAGATTGAGGTTCAGCAAAGTCTATTTTCTACTAAAAAAAATATTGGATGATAATCAAATATTTACCCACACTGGTTTCTCAGCTTTCAGGTGTACAGGGGGCGTTTATTTTAACTGTTGAGTCATTTCAAAGTTCTGAAAATATTTCCAAACGTCCCTCATTTCAGGTCAGACAGGCAAATTCATCAAGTACAGTAGACCCAACTGTTTCTCTCCCTTGAGGTAACCCTCATCACTATGAGACCCTCAAAATGAGTAACATTGATGACACCTAAAGTACAATAAGAGGTAGGATTCCTGTATTCTCCAACATAGAAGGTATAGAGTAGCAAGCATGGAAACATTCTTATCAAATAGACAAGATGCAGGGACTAAAGGCCTTCTCATGCTTTTCTTCCCTCTGCCTATAACTTACATGCCTTTTCTCCTGGGAATGGAAAGCCCAGGCCTTCAGAGCCAAATTCCTCCAGTGACAGTTGATCAAGTCTGACTGTTCACACATGAAGGAAACACTGTCATAGCCTGAAAGTGAGGAAAGACTGGGACCTGCTTTTGCAAAGTGAGGTCCCTGGAACAAAGAGAATAAAGAGGAGTCAGCTGTGTTAAAATCTGGGGAAAGAGCACTCTAGCTGGAGTAACATCACGTGCCAAAGTCTTTAGTTGGGAACAAACCCAATGTGTTTGTTGAACAGAACGGAAGCTAGTGCGTCTGAAGCCTAGCAATGGAAGGGGAAAAAAAGATCAGGGTGAGAGACAGGATCAGGGCGTAGACAAGGGTCAAATCATGTCGGGCCTTGCAGCCATGGGAAGGGACACAGATTTGTATTCTAGAAGGTGACTTTGGTTGCAACATGGAAAATGAATTTTAAGAAGATTTTAAGCAGAAGGCTAGTGAAGAAAGCACAGTTATTTAGGAAGCACAAGACGAGATTGGAGCAGGGTGGAGTCAAGGAGGTAAAGTGGAAGGAATCAAGAGTTCCGTTAAAAGATAAGAAGGTCTGAACATGGGGCTGTGGGTGGGTAAGAAAAAGGGAGGGGTCAAGGATGATAGATTTGGGGCTCCAACAGCTGGAAGTTTGGGGCATTCTGCTTATCATAGGCTTCCTGACTGGGGGACTGACTAGCTAGAAAGAACTGAATAGTCATATTTCACATTGTGGATTAATAAATAGTGAGCAGACGGATATTTAGCTATGTCCTGTCATTTTCCATGACCTTGGTTCACAGATGCTTGACCTAAAGAAATCTCAAAAACATTGCGTTTTGGAGCCAGCCTGTGGTCGCAGGAGGTACTGCTGCTGACTTGGTGTATGTATCCACTCATTCTTAGGGGGAACCCGCGTGTCCTAACGTTTATTTGAACTGGTCGTAGAACTTAGAAAAAAAAATTTATCATGGAAAAATTCAAACATATGTACAAATTTTAAAAATAGTATAATGAGCCTTTTTGAAGCCTATCATTCAGCTTCAACAATTACCAAACGTGGCAACCTTGCTTCCTCTATACTCTCCCTCCCAACCGTACTAGGTTATTTTCAAGTAAATCTCAGGCATCACCAAATAGTTCAAATTGCCCACTCATACATTTATTTTTCTTTACAGTTTCTTTGAATCAGGTCTAAATAAAGTCCATACATTGTACTTGGTTAGTGTGTCTCTTAAGTCTCTTTTAATATCAGGTTCTTCTCCTCCCTCCTTCCTCCTGTTTTCTTTTCTTGAAATTTATCTGTTGAAGAACATCAGGCCATTTATTTTACATGTTCCTCTGTGCCTTGTGTTTCCTGTAAACTGGCTATGAGATCAGTATCGCATTTAATTTTCTGGTAAGAATACCTTATGGGTGGTGGCTTGTACTTCTTATTCTATCACAGCAGGAGGGATTTAATGCCTGCTTGTCTTTTTCTAGTGTAAAATCTGAGAAGTGGGTTCAGACTGAGACAACCATTATAAAGTTCCCTATCACTTTTCATCTATGGGTTTAATTGATCATCACAGCCTAGCTCCATCATTTCATGAAGGGTTGCAAAATGGGGATGTCCTAATTGTATCATTCCTTCTGCATTTATCACTTGGGATTCTACTATAAATAAGAATGTGCCCTCATCAACTTATT